ACTGAATGCTAAAAGCAGTGCATTGATAGTAGGACAGGGGGGGGTAAAAGGAGAAATTTGTCCTTGTGTGAACTTTGGGGAACAAGACATCATGTATTTACCTTTTCATGGTAACTCTTTTTTTTTTTTACTTCTGTGAGAGTAACGCTGTACTATTTTTTCTTTCTTTTTGCTGAAGCATTCGTGGAAACAAATTTTGCAGTGTGGATTTAGCTAGTGGAGAGAAAGATAAAAACAGGATAGAGTTAAAGAGAGAATGTTAGAGACACAGAGGAGACAGAAAAGAGAGACATATACATATGTAGCTGGCAGAGGCTGATATCTAAACAATACGCTGACTCTTTCATCAAAGGCTTGTTCACAAACGTATCTCTAGTTGTGAACAGTTCTTTCCAAAGTTTAAGTTCTTTGGTGGAGATCATGCAGGAACCATCAATTACTTGAGTGTGAGTGCTGTGATAATGTAACACTCACTGCTAGCAACTCAGATACATTCAGTTCTCTTTGTTGGGTAGGAAACAAGAAGGATAAAGAACCCATGGGGCCCAAGGTAGGGTACTAGTTTGGGGCCCACCTTTTATTCTTTACATGGGGATAGTTAATGGGGTCAAGCAAATTGATGATTCCAGGAACCATGTCTTATTCCTGTGCCCAAGGTGGTTGCCCATTGGTTAAACTTGCTCTGAACAGATTTCAGCAGAGCAACACAACTGGATGGGAAGAGTTACAATGCTAAGGAATACACCAAAACAGCCTATACTTTATAATAAACAGAATCTAGGATATTGCTTTATGGATTTTGAACACAACTAATTCCTCTGCAATATTGTGTGAGGCTACGTAAATAGACAATTGTCTTTTAAATCAACAAAAAATATATGCAAATATATGCTAGACTAAAAAATATAAATATATTAATATTTAAGTATGGCAACAAAGCAATTACAAATCATTTCCTTGTGCTACAATCTAGATGAATAGTTTCCTCTTTATTATGCATCAGCAAGGAAAAAATATCTTATTTTTAACCCCAGCTATGCACCTGGTAATAATAATTTTATACAAATCTTCTAAAATTTTTTATACAATCACCAATAATTAGACGGTTTGAGTCTGCAATGACACCAACTCAATGTATACTTCTACTGCAATGAATATAATATGTAATATCAGCTACAACTGGACCCTAATAGACACCATTTGCACAATCTCCTAAAGTATCATCTCTCTCTGCTTTGGTCCATCTGTTCATTAAAATAAATGGAAATGTTAGGCACACTTACCACTATGTTTACTACAAACATTGCTCTTTACTTAACATTTCAAACCAATATTCCCACAAGGTAACAAAGAATCATATTTTTCTTGGGGGAAATGTTTCACCCAACCTTACTTGATACTATGCATTAGACCAATAATCAGTAAAACATACAAGTAATTTGTTATATATTTATCTACCAGGAGATGGGGCTATTGTTTGCAATAAAGGAGGAGACAGGCTTATGTATATCCCACCGAGTTACATAAAAATCAGTTAGGTTATCATTACCATTTGCTGCTAGATTAGCCTACATTAGAATTGTCATTTATTTGTAAAGTATTGCCATATACTGCTACATATTGCAACAGGGATTATAGAATAGGTAAATAAACATTGTGATAAATTCAAGCACACAGAAACATATAGTGAGTCATTATTTCTAAGGTCCATAATCTAGAGGATTGAACTCCAAAGTAAAGCAGATAGACAGCTTGTTGGATTGTGGTAATTCTGTGGTACTGATTAAATAATTGAAAAGGGCAAACTCTCTGCTCTCTTTATGTAAAATTGCATTACTTACAGACTCTAACCTGCTCCCTTACAGTAAGTGATACTGTTTAACACCAATCAAGAAAAGTCTTCATAACATAACAAAAGATATAAACATTCTCTAAATCAATCTATCTATCTATCTATCTATCTATCTATCTATCTATCTATCTATCTATCTATCTATCTATTTATTTGTGATGAGACATTCTGTATTACACTGGAACATGCATATTCCAGATCACCTGAATTAGATTGGAATAGAATACAATTTGTGGGCTCCAGCTGCACGTTGTGGCTTCCATTATTAAGTTTGCCCCTTTCTCCTGACTGTAGAGAGAGATCCTGTATCTCACGTTCTCCGACCAATGTATGGGGGAGAGAATTAATGAAAATAATGGTGTTTGCAGCCAAGAGAGGAGGCCTACATGCTTGCTTGTGTTAGTGTAGGTATATGTCTGTCTGTAAGTGCCAGCATGTGTCTGTGTCTTCCGTTCCAATAACTTAAATGGGCGTGGAAAGACTATCATTGACACACGTCTTGTGTAGAACAAAAAAAAGTAAAATGTAAAAAATAAAAAAAATCCTATAATGTAAAGGATACATGCCTGCAATATATGCAGGGGGGAAATAATGCTATGTGGAAATTCTTGAGATATCCATATATCATCCAACCTGCTGTCTAGTTTCCATAATACACAATCCATCTTTGTGCTTCCTATATAGGAGAAAAAGACAGCATTCATTGAAACATTCAAGGTGATGCGAGGACCAATTAGTAAAGTACATAAAACACAGTCCACTATATTACAAACCAGCTTTCAGAGCTTATTAAAGCACTGATCAAAGGTAAAATCATGGACATTTAATTGCAGAATATTCTTATGCATTGAATATGCCTGCCATTGTTTACAAAGCAGACTATGTTTTCAGGTCATAATGATTGGCCCAACAAAGTCCAATCATCTTTTCTATATTTTATTGCACTACATATGCATACATATACAACTAGTCATTTACCTATCAAAACAATTGCTCAACCATACATACATAGACACCCACACATACAAAGTCAGACAGACACACACACACACACACACACACAAAATGACCCAATCACATGCAGTCACCCACATAGAGATATAATTACACACATGGTCACATACATACATAGACATACAATCACACACAGTCATACATGCAAACATACACACAAAAAGTCATATACATACACCTCCAACAAACACACACACACAGTCACATACAAAGGGATAAATGAAGCAGATGTTAGCTAAAAATAAAAACAAACAAACAAAATTAATATTGCTGTCTCTTCTAAAGCCCAGTCAGAGTCAGCCTAGGTGTAGAAGATGCCATTTTTTTCATATATACACTGCTCAAAAAAATAAAGGGAACACTTAAACAACACAATGTAACTCCAAGTCAATCACACTTCTGTGAACTCAAACTGTCCACTTAGGAAGCAACACTGAGTGACAATCAATTTCACATGCTGTTGTGCAAATGGGATAGACAACAGGTGGAAATTATAGGCAATTAGCAAGACACCCCGAATAAAGGAGTGGTTCTGCAGGTGGTGACCACAGACCACTTCTCAGTTCCTGTACTTCCTGGCTGATGTTTTTGTCACTTTTGAATGCTGGCGGTGCTTTCACTCTAGTGGTAGCATGAGACAGAGTCTACAACCCACACAAGTGGCTCAGGTAGTGCAGCTCATCCAGGATGGCACATCAATGCGAGCTGTGGCAAGAAGGTTTGCTGTGTCTGTCAGCGTAGTGTCCAGAGCATGGAGGCACTACCAGGAGACAGGCCAGTACATCAGGAGACATGGAGGAGGCCATAGGAGGGCAACAACGCAGCAGCAGGACCACTACCTCCGCCTTTGTGCAAGGAGGAACAGGAGGAGCACTGCCAGAGCCCTGCAAAATGACCTCCAGCAGACCACAAATGTGCATGTGTCTGCTCAAACAGTCAGAAACAGACTCCATGAGGGTGGTATGAGGGCCCAACGTCCACAGGTGCTTACAGCCCAACACCATGCAGGACGTTTGGCATTTGCCAGAGAACACCAAGATTGGCAAATTCACTACTGGTGCCCTGTGCTCTTCACAGATGAAAGCAGGTTCACACTGAGCACATGTGACAGATGTGACAGAGTCTGGAGATGCCTTCGAGAATGTTCTGCTGCCTGCAACATCCTCCAGCATGACCGGTTTGGGAGTGGGTCAGTAATGGTGTGGGGTGGCATTTCTTTGGGGGGCTGCACAGTCTTCCATGTGCTCGCCAGAGGTAGCCTGACTGCCATTAGTTACCGAGATGAGATCCTAAGACCCCTTGTGAGACCATATGCTGGTGCGGTTGGCCCTGGGTTCCTCCTAATGCAAGACAATGCTAGACCTCATGTGGCTGGAGTGTGTCAGCAGTTCCTGCAAGATGAAGGCATTGATGCTATGGACTGGCTCACCCGTTCCCCAGACCTGAATCCAATTGAGCACATCTGGGATATCATGTCCCGCTCCATCCACCAACGTCACATTGCACCACAGGCTGTCCAGGAGTTGGCAGATGCTTTAGTCCAGGTCTGGGAGGAGATCCCTCAGGAGACCATCCGCCACCTCATCAGGAGCATGCATAGGCGTTGTAGGGAGGTCATACAGGCACGTGGAGGACACACACACTACTGAGCCTCATTTTGACTTGTTTTAAGGACATTACATCAAAGTTGGATTAGCCTGTAGTGTGTTTTTCCACTTTAATTTTGAGTGTGACTTCAAATCCAGACCTCCATGGGTTGAAAAATTTGATTTCCATTTTTTTTATTTTTGTTTGATTTTGTTGTCAGCACATTCAACTATGTAAAGAACAAAGTATTTCAGAAGAATATTTAATTCATTCAGATCTAGGATGTGTTATTTTTGTGTTCCCTTTATTTTTTTGAGCAGTATATATATATATATACTTATTCCATAGGTCCTGCACTCCTGCTTCCCTGTGTTTTCTGCCTGGTGCTCGACTGCACAAATAACATTCAAAAGCAAGTCAGCACTCGAGTACTTGTTAAAAAAGGTAAGTTTTAATCCAAAGATGAATTCAGTTTACAATCCGGTCAACGTTTCAGTTCTTACATCAGAACTTTCATCAGGACTGATGTCCTGATGAAAGTTCTGATGTAAGAACTGAAATGTTGACCGGATTGTTAATTTCATCAGGTAAGTTTTAATCCAAAAATGAATTCAGTTTACAATCTGGTCAACGTTTCAGTTCTTACATCAGAACTTTCATCAGGACTGATGTCCTGATGAAAGTTCTGATGTAAGAACTGAAACGTTGACCGGATTGTAAATTTCATCAGGTAAATTTTAATCCAAAGATTAATTCAGTTTACAATCCGGTCAACGTTTCAGTGCTTACATCAGAACTTTCATCAGGACATTAGTTCTGATGAAAGTTCTGATGTAAGAACTGAAACGTTGACCAGATTGTAAACTGAATTAATCTTTGGATTAAAATTTACCTGATGAAAGTTCTGATGTAAGAATATCTCTCTCTCTCTCTCTCTCTCTCTCTCTCTATATATATATATATATATTTATTTATTTAACTAGCTTTCACAACCCAGCTGGTTTGTCACTCAGTCTGAAAAGAATCTCTATCTGCTCTGCCATGTCAGTAACTGCCACAATGATTCTGGCCCTCCATCTTGCTCATATTCAGGGCTCACAAGAGCAAGGAGGGTGTAACAGTATGATGGTTCCAAAAATGAACATGGAGGAACTTCAGGAGAATTGCAGTCAGTCTACCAAGAATTGTGGCTGCAGCACAACTATGAAAACCCCACCAATTTTAATTAAGAGTTGATTAGCACAAATCTTGGTGCTGAACAAACATTTTTCTTGGTGCTCCACAATACGGTGATCTAGCATATTTTGACATTACAAAAGATGATCCGTAAACATTATCACTTATTTAAAACTAGTGATTTTCACATCTACATTAACAAAAAACATGCACATCTATTATAATTTTTGGTGAAATCAATGTGAGAAATAAAGGTACAGTATAACAAATTTTACATAGTGATAACTATTGCCTAGACATCACCGACTTGCTAACATAAAAACTCACAGGTAAAGAAAGATAAAAAACAGCATTTCCTGCCTTTGAATTGCTGTGTGCGTATCAATGTTTGCATAGCGAACAAAAACTATTTCACTCAATGAAAACTCGGTTAATTAAGCAAAAGTCAATAAACCCCCCTTGTGATAACAAATTGAATCACTGCTACTTTTAGTTATTCCCTAGTAATTATCTCCAGTGTAGTTTGCGATTTACTGCGCCTTGTCCCTACACATTATTACATAACTGAATCACTCTGAATACAAAACAGCTCAAACAGACCCTATCATAGAATTCACCCCAAGCAATCGTTTTTCTTTTTTTTTCCTAAACATTCATACTTTAAAATACATCTCAAAGAATTGTACTGCACAAGTGATTTGAGAAGTCAGGAAATTAACATGAGATAAATTCAACCTTGAGAGCAGTGTTACAGTAGGTAGATGGTTTGTATTTGCTCTGCAATTTAGTTGTTGAATGAGACCACAGGTGGTGTTATTGGATAGAACACTTATAGTACGCGTTATATGCATTTCCTATTTGTACCTTGGTCATTTGTTCATTACTAAAAATACATTGCATTCTCCAAATATACTGTTTATTTAAACATTGGAGGAAAAAAAAGATAACAGTGTACATGAAAGGAAAGTTAAGGATCTTGTGCAAAATTTAATTTATATAACTATCTTATCAACGGCATAAAGTGAACCATTCATTACAGCTGAAGTCAAGAAATATATTGGATGTAACATATACATCACTAAATCACAGGAAAAAAACAACAAAATTAAGTAAATTATGAAATGTTTCCAGATGGTCATCTGTAGCTTCCTGCAGTGGATTTGGTCTCTGCCAGTACGGCTCTTCTTCAGTAATGTAAAACATAATGGGTGGTTATTTCCATGATGGCACAAGTTGTTTGTCTTTCTCACTGTGATATCATTCTATAGAAGAATGGTGTGCAAATTGTTTTAGTAGCAACATCATTCAGGTAGAGGTGTCGTAAATTGCTACAGAAGAAAAACATTTTTTTTCTGTGTTTCCTCTTCTTTATTTAATCCAGACCACATTGTTTGTCGTTCTAGTTTGCTTTAATCACCATTTTAACCAGTAAAATATAAATTTACATTCATCTAAATCCTGCAAAAAAAACAAACATTCTGCAAACACAAATTAAATCATTTTGTATATATCGATAGAATTCTGCAAATCACTTGAAAATTTCCTCATAACTATTCCAAAATAGTTTGTGGCAAAAAAACAAAACAAAACTGGGTTGTAATGTGCTAGAAGGGAAAACAAAATCTCTAAAAGATATGAGCAATGTTGCAACTGTTACCATTAACCCCTTAAGGACACATGACATGTGTGACATGTCATGATTCCCTTTTATTTCAGAAGTTAGGTCCTTAAGGGGTTAAAGACATGTCATATTTATTATAGACAATGGCAGCATAAATCTAATCTCGTAGATATGAGTAAGTCTTGCGCTTACCTCCAGAAAATTCAGAAGAAATAAAAAGCTAAAGTTAGTATCAATCTACCTTGCTGCCCACTATTTGTTAATATATATATAATATAAAGATTTGAAATAACTTCCCTTAGAATAAAGGGATAAACCCCGAGACTTCTCCGTTTGTCTCCAACAAAAATATATATTCAATATGGGATAACATAACAGAAAACCAAGACACTATGTATAACTGTGTAACACCAGAAAACGAATCACATTTATTGAATCAAGTTGTGCCTTGGAAAAAAAAATCTCCCAGTTAAGTGCATCTGTGCTATATACCTTCAACGAGTCAACTCCAGAGGGTTAGCTATCTCATTAGATTCTGGCCAATGTGGGGCCTGGATAGAAGAAAAAAAAATGGACATAACAGTAGTTTGTAAAATATCCAAACAATGTTTATTCACTTACATGTAGATTTCAAAAAGCAGAATATGCAAGTCACGTTCAACGTGTTTCGTCTTACTAGGATTCCTTAGGGACATTCAACAAATAACAAATTCCGTCTTACCAGTCCACCCTTTTCAATCCTTTTAATGCCTCGTTCTGGTCTCTTATTGGTTGTCCATTTGGTTTGTTTCTCTGTTTGAGATATTTCCGTATTGGGCGGGATGATATCTTTTCTGGAATGCAATGACATTGGTGTAATTCTCCAATATTCCGAATGTGGAAGTTCCTGCTTTCCACCCTGCATTCCACAGATAGGAACAATGTTGCAATTGTTACAAATAAAGACACCAGTTATCATTATTATGGACAGTGTTTTTTTTGTGTTTTTGAGGGGGCAGAATTACTCTGATCTTGTAGATATTATCAAGTCTTGTGCTTACCCCTAGAAAATTCAGAAGAAATAAGAAGCCCAATTGCACTTAGTACCAATTTGTCATACTGCCCACCTTGTGTTAATGCTTTGGTAAACTTGCGGGTTGAGATTGTGCTCAAAGGTGAGAGGAGTTTTAAGTCCAACTATGGCTAGCATTGCTTCCAGACAGATCAATCAGATATTGAAGAGGAATTTTGAGATGCAATACCATGACAGCTAATGTTCAGATACCATCTACCATGAACCAACATTTAATATCTATTCCATGTAGGTCCTATAATTCCATCACTAGCCACCCAGAGAAGAAAAAAAGAAACATTGTTGTCTAGTACTTACATTCTTCTCTGATAGTGCTACATCAAGGACGCCATTACAATTATAGTTGGGGATAGCTCCACTGGAAGAGTAATATACAGAGAGACAGAATGAGAGAGATTTAGACAGACATACAGATAACTTTCATTTTCAATATGAAAGCATTAAGTAATTACTGTATTTGTTTCATTATTTGGCTGTTGTTGACTTTGTTGTTGGCATTTCTCTGAATTATACATATTGAATTAGGCTCGAATTAATCTCTGATCATTCTCATCCAGTTTTTTCTGGCATACAAATAACAGACTATCATTGTAACAGTGCACAAGGGAGGCCCACATTGCTGCCCTCAGAATCCAGCTCCCGAAATTTACTGTGGCTGCCAAGGTCAGAGGTAAAAGGATTAGACAAGTCTAATTTGGCCCTTGGGGTTTGTACTGTGGATTCAGCTTTTATATTTGTATATTTTTAATAGGGCTCTGCTGATGGCAATGTTTCTGACTTTCTATTTTTTTTTTTCAATAGGACACAACAGGCTTACTTTATAGTTAATAAATACATGCCAAATGAGACTGTGTTGTTCAGCCACCCAAGAAGTGTTTTACTGGACTAATAAAACAAACTACAGAGTTCCTTTATAATTAGTTTCATAGTGCAAGATGTCTCTTGTATGAAAACATCATGTATGGATCTAATGACATCATGTCTGATTTTGTACCTGCAGTTTAATTACTGTTTCTAACAAAAAAAAAGGCAGTCTCCCTATAGGATTTATGTTTTCATTTATTGATGCTATGCATATAATAGTTATCTAAGGCATTCCAAAGCTGTGTTTGTTTTGGTTGTTAAATTAAATTTGGGTTTGCCAGAATAAGAACATCCATTTGGGTTATATAAACAGCAATTGCACATATTCAGGTTGACACCAATTAACAACACTGTTCAATCTTCATAAAGCATTACATGACTGCTAAAGATTTTTAACCCCTTCATTACGGGAATTGTGTTTCCTATACTCCGAAATTTTGTATACACAAGTGAAAAAAAATTGCAAGTTAAATTTGTTTATTGCAAACAAATGTATTTGCAGTTGTTGTACTTTGGGGTCCCAGAGCTGGCACTACCATTTAAGTGCAGGTACTCCAGGTGTCCCTTGCAGCAGCACAGGTTGGCCTTGTGCTCACTATCAGTTGTAAAGGCGTTGTAGATTTGCATATCTGCCACGTGCATATAACTGCTGATTTTGTTCTTGCAGTCAGAAATTTGAAAGGTATCATTTACAGTGATCTGCACCTACAAGAGGTGCAGACCTGCAGCTCTGCCTATCTACAAAGATGGAGATTACAGGATATTAGCCCTAATGGACCACAAAGGAACCAGAAATATAGCATTAGTCTCTGCCCAAGGGATAGAAGGTAACCAAAAAAGTGACAGAAAAATCTTTATTATAATACACAATTTAAAAATCCACAAACACATTTCGCCTCAGGGCTTTCATTTATTTTTTCTGTTGTTCAGAAAACGTGTTTCACCTCAGGGCTTTTATTTTTTATTTTTTTCTGTTGTTCATATATATGCGTTTGTGGATTTTTAAATTGTGTATTATAATAAAGATTTTTTGGTCACTTCTTTGGTGCCAACTAT